TCGAATCCTCTTTTTGAGATAGTCCCATAGATGTTATATAGGATTTATATCCGGACTGTTAGGTGGCCACTCTAATAAAGGAATATTAACATCATGTAAGTAACCAATAACCTGTCTAGCCACGTGGGGAAGAGCGTTGTTCTGCATGAATAAAAAATTGGGCCAACAAACGGTGCAAAAGGCATTACATGTTCAACAATAATGTTGTCTAAGTGGGCATTCATAGATCTCATACGTATAGGGACCAACTCCGTACGAGCATCGAAGGAAATTCCTCCCCAAAACATTTTAGAGCCACCACCAAAAGGCACTTTAGGAGACATATTACAGTTGGCAAACCTTTCTCATTGTCTTCGCCAGACACGCTCACGTCCATCTGGAGCTTTAAGGCTTTAAGACTCTAGTTTCATCAGAGAACAGAACCCGTTTCCAATCATTGATGGTCCAATTCTGATGTAGTTTTGCAAAATTTAATCTCTGAATTTTGTGTTCTCTGGTAAGCAAGGGTTTTTTGGCTGGTCTTCTGTTGCTTAATCCTGCTTTATGTAAACGTCTTCTAACCGTTCGAGACGATATAGCGATATTTCGAACATCTGTTAATTCATTTTTAAGCGGATTGCTGGTTACTCTCCTGTTTCTAAGAGCACGTTGTCACAAAAAACAATCATCAATTTGATTATTGCAACGTTTCCACCCTAGTCCTGGTCTTCGATGGTATAAACCCGTTTCACTATATCTCCTCACTATGCGACTGATGCTGGAATGATGTCTTCCTAACAAACCAGCAACATATCGCATTGAATATCCTTCATTCAGGAGAGTCGATGCTCGCACTGCCTCCTCCAGTGACAGATTTCTTTGTCGGTTCATTTTTCTTACTTGATATTCTTCCAAATGAACTTCCAAACATGCATGTAATAAAAACATTTACAATCAACAGCTTGCTTCTAACAGAAACTTTGCTTTAATCAGCACTTTTTAAGAAAATGTTAACACAGTTTTAGTCTAAAACGAGGTTTAATACAAATTACTATCAAAACAAGGTATTACGTAACACTAGCTAGCTTAAAAAACAACTGTCACTGTCAAACAAGGTCTATGGCCTACTTGTCGTACAGTAAGTTAACGAGCAAAATATATGTGGTGCGTTAATTCTGTCTAAAAGATTTAGTGATATAAGAAGTTTTCACGAATGCCTACATGTTTCATTCGTTGTATTTAATGTTTTTTTTTCTTTAAATTGTTCAGGTACTTCATAAAAAATTATTCTACAGCTTATGATGAATTCATAGCTAAATACACTAAAATATCTACAGAAAGTAGGAAAGTAGCTCATAAACGTCATATGCATGAATCAAAAAAAAAATAATATATCTAACAATAGACGGCACGGTAAGTCATTAGCATGGTACTAAGTGAAGGACGTTTTGCGCAAGATGTTAAGTAAAATATTGTAAAATATTAATTTATAGCTTTTTACATGCTACAAAGTACCATAAAAAAAGACAATACACTATTAACACTCTTCAAACTGGAAGAAGCCGCTTGCTTAACTTACTAATTAAGACCCAATGATTTATAAAAAATATATAAAAATTAGGAAATTCTACCATAAAAAGTCATAAAATATAATAAAAACGAATCCCACCAAGGCATTAGAATTAATTTTAAATAATTAAATTAAATGAAAAAATCCCGGCCAACGGTGGGATTCAAACATGGGACCCTTGGATCCGCAGGCAGACTCTACCACTGAGCCACCCACCTTCTCTTTATTATTATTATTATTATTATTACTAATATAATAAATATAAACAGTGAAATGTTGACTGTAGCCCTTTTTTATCTCTATCTTTGTCGGATATAAGCAGATAGGGTTAGGTTTGGCCCAGAATACTGCAGCCTCTTGGATCTATTGTATTCCCCTGCTTTTCCCGTATTTATGTACTACCTTTGAAATATTCCTGTCTTTGGTTAGTTTTAATAAATTCCCTACCAAGTGTTCCTAGGGCGTTCTTTCCAGTTTTAGGCCGGAAAGGGTGAAACGTCGCCTAGTAAGAGCTTCGCATTCGAATATCACATAGTATGAGGTTTCTTCCTCTTCCATGCAGAGTCTACATGTAGTGGAATCATTCTGTAATTCCATTATATGAAGGTGTTCCAGCAAGCAGTACCCCGTTAGTAATCCCACAATGGTGGATATCTGAAGCCTTGCGAGTTGTAGTGTCTCAGTAACCATGCGTGGGTTTGGTCCCCTTAGCATGAGCTTACTAATTCTGTGCCCTCTTATCTGTTGCTAGTAAATTTGGTGTTTTAAGGTTATCCAACTGTTCACTGCCTGTCCAACAGAGGTTTTACTCATCCCAAATACAGGTTCGGGTCCTATGAATGGTAGATCTGATCCCTCTTTGACGAGTTCATCAGCCTTTTTCTTTTCTTGGATACCGTTGTGCCGTGGTACCCACGCTAGTTTTTCCTTGTTGTGATTTGCCAGATCATTTAGTATTCCAAGGCAGTTCCCAAACAAGCTTTGACTTGATTCTGTTTAAATCAAGAACCTTTAAGGCTGCTTGGCTATCTGAGAGAATTGGGATGGTTTGTTTTTTGTACTTCCTTCTTAAATTCCCTCGTACGCACAATTCGATTACATGTAATTCAGCTTGAAATACAGTGGTATGTTTTCCAGTGAGACGATGATGTCGCATTTGGGTTTAACTCCATGTACGCCTGAGCCTGTTCCCTTGTTAGTTTTAGATCCATCCGTATACTATACGAGACCGCTAAGCAAGTATTTATCTATCTCCTTATTTATCTCGTTTCAGTTACAGTTGACCTGGAAGAGTTTGTTAAAGGTTAGGAGGGTGTCATGTGATCTGATCTCATATTTAAAATAGAATCATTTACTTCATGTGTTATTCTGGTATATTTTATATGTCCCAGTGGGTTCCAGTTGTTGGAGATTTCCAGTCTGTATGAACTTATTCTGGTCACCCCTTTATGACTAGGTTTAGGGGTGAGAGGTTTAGAATGATTTCCATAGAGGCTGTCGGTGTACTTCTCAGTGCTCCTGTAATACAAAGGCATGCCAGCCTCTGTACTTCTGAGAGGGTACGGAGGGCTGTTTTCTGGCTTACTTTTGGCCACCAAACAACCATTCCATAAGTTATCACGGGTCTTGTTATTGCCAAATATAGCCAGTTGACCATTTTTGGTTTTAATCCCTATGTTTTTCCAAATGCCCATCTCCCTACAATGAGAGACATTTTACATTTGTTGGTCACTTTTTGTAAGTGTTGGGTACAAGTAAGTTTGCTATCTAGGCTCAGACCCAGATATTTTACTTGGTTCGTTTTGTTTAGCCTTCCTCCAAACAGAGTCGGAGTTTCTAAAACCTCCAACCTTATTTTCCGAGTAAAGGTTATGAGTTGTGCCTTGTCCGGATTTACCAAGAGGTTTTCCCTAACGCACCACATTTCTGTCAGCCTAAGAGCTCTTTGCATGAGTTCAAAGACTGTGGTTTGGTGTTTCCTTCGGATAAGGATGACTATGTCATTGGCATATCCTTGGACGTACAGCCCTTGATTGTTTAGTGTTTTAAGCAGTTCATCTGCCACTAGGTTCCACAATAGAAGAGAAAGGACTCCACCCTGTGTACATCTCCTGTGGATATTCACCTGCATGGTTTAACTGAAAATTTGTGCCTGTACTTGCATATGTCTTCTATCCACCAGCAGATAGTGTCTTCTATTCCATGTTTGCGAGCAACAACTACCATTAATTTAAAAGCGGTATTATCAAAAGCTCCTTCAATGTCAAGAAATGCTCTTGGGACTATTTTTTTCCTCCCTCTATATTGGTTACAAGATCATGCAGAGCAGAGCAGATTTTCCTGATTGATAGGCATGTTGGTTTGTACGAAATGGCCTCTCTATCAGAGTGATTTGCCGGACATGTTGATCAATCAGTTTTTCTAATCCTTTCAATAGAAATGACGTCAGAGTTATTGGTCTATAGGCCTTTGCCACGGCATACTCTGGACGCCCCGGTTTAGCTGTAAAGACAACTCTGCTTTGTTTCCAGCTATTTGATACATGTTTATGCACCAAATTTGCGAACATACTTTTGTTTGTTTAATAGAATTTAGTTCATTTTAGAAGGTTGCCGTATACCCCAAAATTCTCTAATGTTGCTAACAAGGTTTCATGATGCACCTTATCAAAAGCTTTGGGAAAGTCTGTATACAGCTTCTACCTGCTTTACGTTTTTTGGACAAATAGTATTAGGTTTGTAACTATCGATCGACCCCCTTAAAAACTGTGTTGTAACGGTTATAATAATTGTTTCCCCATCACCGACAAGAGTGAAATAGGGTGATAATTAGTTTTCCACTTTTAAATATATGAATCACTTTCCCATTTTTGAGGAATTCATCCAGTTTTTAGTGATAAGTTATAAATTAAAAACAAAGGTTTAATGAGAGCTTCTTTGCAACATTTTATAAAAAAAAAGGGAGGTATTTCATATAAACATGTTTCTTTGTTCATTTATATCTTTAATCCCTCGTTATATGATGAGTATTAAAGTGATAAAAACTATTATTAGTGTGTGGAATCAGGGTTGAGGAATTATTCGGTTCAAAAAATAATTACAAAAAAATGTAGATACTGATTTTTTACTTTTTTATTTGATATGAAAGACCAAAATCTTTCTGAATTTGTACAGAGTATTTTCAATTCTGGATGTATAATTTTTGTAATCACTTTTGACGGATAATTTAGCTTCTCTTTTCAAATTTGAAAAACGGTTATAGTAATTTTGATTTCTATATTTTAGCCAGTCACAGCGTGCTTCTAATTTTTCTTTAAGAATATTTTTTGTTCTTGTTAATTTCCAACAAAGTTTTTATAAAAAACAATAGTAAGGGCCTGCTTTTTATCGGCATACCCTAAATAAAACCCGAACAAAAAATTAAAACATCAACGAAAAAGAGGAAATCCTACCTGTGTACTTTTTATTTCTCGTTGCCTTGCTGTACAAAATGAAAGCTGCCAGGAAGAAGACTGATGAAAGTGTTTCCGCTCTCCCCACAACGCCGGTTACCTAAAAATAAAACATGAACAATTAAGTTTTGAGCACAAAGCAATCGCTTCAGTTGTCAGTAGAAACCGCCTGGATTTTAACAGCTAACAGTTAGACAGGAAACAGGAAAAAAGAAAGGAATAGGAATGTAGGATTGGGCTCAACGTTGAAAGGATGTTACGAGTAATATAATAAATGATGGAAACACAAACAAATTTATGAATATTGTTATTCTGCAGACAAATATTATTAATTACGTTATTTAAATTATGACAAAAAGTGTATTTAGTGGGGAATGCATTCAATGGGGTTGGCCAGATTTAGGGAAACTCTTTGATAAAAGGTGAGCTTAAGAAAACGATTATTTCCATTAAGAAGATGCTAAAAAAGTCAATAATTTTTAAAAACTGAAATTACATTTGGAACATCATATTTTTTGTTTTCAATTTTTTTATACGTATGTTTTAAAAAAATTATATTTTCGGTTTTCACTGTACAACTTGAAAACAACAATAGATTTTATCCGATGTAATTGTTTCCCAAAAAAAATAGTCAACTTTTCTCAATTTAATCGACTTCGTATATGTTAGGGTTTAGAAAACTGCAATGTTGGCACTTTATAAAAGAAACGGACCGTACACTAATGTGATTACCAAGGATAATACACTGATAGCAATGCGATTATCGGTCTAAGCACTTCTCTAGCATAACAAACTTTTCTGGCTCTTATTAGATAAATGTCATTATTTTGTTTGAATGGTCTTTCCTAAAGTATAAAATGCTCGATTAAAGCTAGATAAATACGACTATTCGTATAGAATGGCAGTGTATTGTGGTCTGTAAAAAACAGTATGGCCATATATATGTATGAAGGTAAGATTTAAATTAAAAACTAATTTCACTCATCACAATAAAATTAAAAACAAAATACAAATTTTTTTAAAGAGGTTGTAGATGTGTAGACACTGAAGGAGAAAATCAAGATTTTGTATTTAGAGTGTAAGGCAAAAAGGTTTTTTTTTCCAAAATTGCAGACTTTAAAGAGCTGACATAACTATACAAGACTATACTTTTAGCAAAGGACCAGGCAGACGGCTTATGGAGAAATGGTTTCCGGTTAATATACCAGAATTTTTGGTATGTTGAAGATATCAACTTCGTGAACAATAGTGTCCGTGGGCACAACTCAATCCTATGGCCAGTTTTTAACATACAGGGTGATGAAGTTGAAAAATGGCAATTTTTTAAAACGTATTAAAATGTAATTTTCTCAATATATTGCCGCGATTAGGGTTTTTATGTTTCCCTAAACGAGCTGAGAGGTTAATTATAGCTAGATGGTAGAACTACTTTAATAAAACATAATAATAATAATAATAATAATAATAATAATAATTGAGAATATTTATTTAATAAGTAAATGATTTAAAAAAGGAAAAAGACAATATCCATTGAATAATGATAAAAATAACAAATTAATTAGGTACTCACCAAGGGTACACCATTTTAAGAGGGATGGTGCTTGTGTCGCTCTTCAAAACCAAGTGATTAATTATATTTAATATTTTATAAAGAAAGTTCGGGTTCATGCACTTTTGCTTGATCAGGTAATTCGTTCAACGAATTTCCATAAAAGTATCAATTAATTAAGAAACTTGAATTTATACTTCCTCTTTAGAAATAATATCTTTAAATAAACTAAACAATGAATGGAAAAAATGAAAACAATAATTTAATATGAGATAAATATTTTTTAATAAATGAAAAATTATTTAACTATTTTACCTATAGTACATGAACCCTAAATATATTATTTGACAATATTAAGGATTTTTTGCTGTAATAGTATTCTGATATCATCAAATAATATTACTTTGTGTAGAACAAGTATTATTTGATAAAGAGTGATTCAAAAATCACCAAAAAAATTATTGATGCTGTGTATTCTACTTTACAGTGGGAATATGAAAATATTAATATTTGGTCTGAATTAACTTTAGTTGGACTTATTATAAAAATGTATAATAACATTTTATACATGTTGTATGTTTTGTTATTAATAAATTAGTTTTGATTATTCCCCTCTTTAATCATTTAATGCAGGTAGTAACTACAAAATAACAATAAATCCAGTTCGCATTTATGACGATGTATCTCTGTAGTTGTTCGTAAAATTATTTTTTGCTGCGAACTGGTTTATTTTGGGCAAAAAATTTAAGAGACATTTTTTGTTTAGAATGAAACAGGCTATCGGAAAAAACAAAAAGTTACGTTGGAACGAAATTTTAGGGGTTGCGTTTTCCACCCCTTACAACCATGGGGTAAACCAAATAAATTACTGGCTAAGTGTCTTTTTGGTAGTAGAAAATTTTAGGTTTATTTCAATATTGTAACTTGTTTAGTGCTTGTGAAAAAAATTGTTAAACAAATTTTATGTACTCCCTTTAAGGGGCTGTGTCTTAACAAGGGATGCTCCAATGAAGTTTCTTTATATGAAAGATCCTATCTTTTTTTCGATGAGGAATCACCCCCTTAAATGTTTTACACTTATTTAGTTACACCCTGTATAAACGTTAATAAAATGTACTTGTTATTATGCAGATCAATTTTTATCTGTAATGTCTTTGAGTTGCCAATATCAATAATTGTGCCTTCTATGTTTAATTCATTTTTTACATATACAATTACACCGTCATTTTTATTTAACTGTCCCTGATTATAAAACGTCCTGTAACCATCCAGATTAAAAAGATCAATATCTTGTAATTGAAAAGTTTCTGTCAGTATAATACAATCAAAATTGCAGCTTAGTTGTTCTAGCATTATTTTAAACTCGTCTAAGTGTGCATTTAGACTACTCATATTTTGATGTACTATGCTAAAATTAATTCATTATTTATGAAAAATTTGTTAAGATCTATAGAATTAAAACATTCAACTATGTTTTAAAGCTCATAATTTATTGATCAAATTTTAAATAAAATCAAGAAACTTTATATGTTAAGTATTGAGAAAGATCGGATAAATTATATAAGAAGGGAAATAAAAAACAAAAGATTATTAAAACAGAAGGATCTAGGACTTACTACCAAAAAGCGTTCTATGCTTTATTTCTTCTACCCTTGTCTGGTGGTTGATTTCGTTTTTGTTGAGTGAAGAGAGTGTGATCTTGGTAGTTTTTGATTTGGAGTTGTTTTTTCCCTTTGCCTCGATAAATTAAATTTATAAGTATTTTGTATCAATAGGAAAATAACTAGAGATAGGAGTTTTAAAGTAATTTAGCTATGGGGATCTGAAAAAAGGGCCCCTTATTTAAAATAGTTTGGGAATCCCTGAGCTAAATACTTCATATCCTGTATGACCCTAGACTCTACGTCTATATTTTTGATGAAGTATCTTATCTATCTATTATATTGGTCCCCAGTTGGCTTGTCATTTTGTCTTTAGGTTTTGTCGGCCGTTTTTCTTGTGCTCTTTCTGATAAATCCATACTTTCTTCTATCTTTTATTGGTGAAATTTCTGCTATGGCTGGTATGTCCGTTATCGGGGCCATTTTTTTAGATAATGTCCCATTTATATTGCTATTCTGGTTTCAGACACCATGTATATATGAAACTAATTTTAATTTGTAGTTGCCATTGTATATTTGTGTCAAAGGAATTTTTAATATTGTCTGTATTTTATCCACCAAGCTCCGTTCCGTTGAGCATAGCACACCCTGTATAAATTCGAAATTAACTAAAAGTAATAGCTAAAACTAGTTTTTATAGTACAATCGGGTTTTAACTGAATTCGGTTGTTTATGATAACATATTATTCCGTTTTACGTACATATTTTAAATTACACTTTGTTTTCTGGTAATTTATTTTCAAAATGTGTCAAAATATACTAGACTATAATTCGCGTTTGAGTGTGGAATTTATTCCCGTTTGTTAATTGCCGTTCTGGTTACTATTCCGCCTGGTTCTATAAACTGTGTATTACAGCGGGCTTTGATTTTGCTTAGTAAATGTGGATGACTCTATTTTCGAGTACCTTATTTTCAGTAAACCAACGTCATGCTACATGAGTAATGTTTACGCTTCTATAACTTCCATTAGAGATTGGTAGTGAGGATGTCCATTTTATGCTAAAAAGTTCTAATAAGAACGAAACATGTCCAATAATTAGGTCAATCTTACTAAACAAATTCAAAGCTAGAATGTCTAAAATAATGTTCTATCTCTGCTATTTCCCTCTAGAAATATTTCAGTATCTATTGAGGTATATAGCCAGACTAGTAGTTGTTTTCAAAATGATAGCGGTTGCTGGATTGATTAGTAAATCTAAGAAATGTACCTTCTTTTTTAATTTTTAGATGTTGTTAATACATATAAAGCTTCTTCATTCCTTGCAGTTTTCTTTTTCTTGTAAATACAATAAAGTTTTTTTTTGCCCGGTTTGTGGACAATTTCTCTGTTGAGCATCCTCTAGTACTTTTTGCATCTTATTGAAATAATAGCAACAAATTTGCAGTTTACTATAATCATTATATCTTTAGCAAGTATAGGTTTTCTGTCTCTAACTCCCTTAAAAGATCATTAACAACCAAGGTCTACATGAATGAAAGACAAAACTCCTCCTTGCAGGCATCCCTTGTTAATTAAGATCTCGTTCGTTGCGTTAAAGTGATTTCTACTAATGGTCTTAACCCTAAGCATGAATTCAACCCACTGCAGTGTGCTAGATCAACCTTTGCTTAGATTCTAGAATTTAATTGTAGGAAACCGAACCAAAGGTTACATTCATGTTTAGAAATACTAGAGCAGGGTGTCATTGAAATAGTGTAAAAAAATTCGGGAGGTGATAGTACTCCTAAAACTAGTAAAAAAAGATCCTATAACTATGGGTCGTTAAATACATATTTAGGGATTTAGGGGCGTCAAAAGGGCAAAAGTGGTTTTTTTGAAATTGTAAGCTTAAAAAACACGATAAAACTTCTAAAAAAATCCCTATGTTGACATAAAATTTACTGCTGAA